GATAGAATACAAATACACAAATAAAAAAATGCGCTTATAATTGAATGAGAAGTTCAAAAAACTCATTCCAAACGGTACAAATTCTCTAGAAAACTGGTTTTTTTGGAAATCTTATCCTTGCTGAAAATTCTACCATAGATGCGATGCGTGCTGTGGAATCTATTCGAAGTTTTCATTCTTATGGTTAGAGAGATATTCGCTAATTAGTTTTTTATTAATTAATAGTCAGTTGGAAGAGTCAACTTTTTTTTTACATATGTTCATGTTTAAAGAACTTAGAAAAATAAAGTTTGTAAATGATTCAAATCAAGTGACAGGTGAATATGCCCCATTTTGCCTCATATCGACTAGAAAATGCCTAGGAGGATTGGACGTAAGGTACGATCTAATTAAGACATCAATTATAATTTTCCTTTGACACTTTATTAATCCGCAAAAGTGTAAGTTTTGCACTGTCATTTGAAACTTTATCGATATCAATGCTTGAATCAGACCAATTTGTCTGCAAAACTTCAGAATTTCGGAATAAATTATATTCGAAGCATTCGTAATGTTAGCAGAAAGATGCTTTTCTTTTGCAAAAATTATACCCCTAAGATAATGCGTTAACAAATCCTGAATTTTCATAGACGAACTAATCTGATCGAGGTGTTAATGTGAACATAGCGTCAAGTCGATATTCAAAACTTTTTATGTTACTGGGAAAATAAAGCGCTAAACGATGATTGTACCCAATATCTCAACTAAATCTGAATTTGCGCTCATATTTTCTCAATTTTTTCTATTATAGCATTACTATTCAATACGAATAATTTATCCTAAATAATCGAAGTTTTTGAATTAATATTTTGAATAACATTTGAAAAATTTTTCTTTAGATGCAACTGCAACAATTCTTTCATTACAAGAACAATTAGCAAAATATCAAAATAATGAATCCATACTTGCACAAAATCTTGAACAACTTAATCAAAAATTACTTGATGTTTATAAACAATGTGAAGAATTTCGTGAACATAATGCACAATTAATTCTATCAAAACAACAAGTTGATAAACAATTAGAAGAACAAGAAAAAGAACTAAAAGAATATCGATCAACCATCAAGAATTCCAAGCAACATTTAGATCAACATATTGATTCATCGACAGAAGTTTGTAGTGCAAAATAAATCTAAATATTCATTAATGTTGTTTGTTTTTGCTATATTTAAAGAATCTTTCGGTTGATCATGTAAATCGAGAACATGATGAAGAAATTAATCGATTACGTACAGAAATTTCTACTCTAACTAATAAATGTGTTGAACTTGATGAAGCGAATTGTACATGGAAACAATTTCAACAAGCTCAACTTAATAATTTTAGAAATAAACTTCATGATTATGTTATATTAGATAAAAATATTTCATTGGATCAAACAGCTCAAATTATTATTGATCAAATTATTAAAGATCGAGAAGATTTTAATCAACAATATGAAATATTACAAAAAACAAATGATGAACTTCGATCAGGTTTACTTTTATCTTTAGTTAATTTTTTTCTTTTTCTTATAAATATTTTCTTCGTTTTTAGAATCAGAAAATAATTTAGAAACAATTAAACAATCTTATATAAATACAGTTAATGAACTTAATCAAGAATTACTTATTATAAAAGAAGAACTTGAAAAACAAACTAATAATTTCAATCAACAACAATTCATTGGTAAGTTTTATTCATTATATTATTAACTAAGGAAATTAACATTTTGACCATAGATAGATCTACTTGTGAGTAGAATTTCGTGAAAATTTCAACTTAAAACAATCTTATCATTAATAAGATATTGAATTTTCAAAGTGACTCATGTTCTTCTTAGAAATTCAATGTCGTATGATGGATGTATTGTTTTAAGCTGCAACTTTCGAACGACTCTACTCATGTGTAGGCCTATATACCATCGTTCGCAGGGACGCGACGAAGAGGAAAAGGGGTTACAAGAAAATGTTTTCAGAGCTGAAAAGACGCATATACAACTTTCTAAAAGTGTGTGGTCCGCACCCCATGAAGGTCACATTCTATTTGGTATACACCAGAGATGTTCATCGCGGCTCGAAATCTGCCGGTACCACGCCCCGGCGATAGCAAAGAAAATCGGCAGCTACGTTGCCGCGATGGTACTCGAAAAACAGTTTCGAATTTAATTGCTGTGAGTGTTTTAAAATACAATTCTTGTCACTAATCAATGAGATTCATTGAGTCTTAGATTGTTACGTTTGTGGTCACTAAATTTTTGTGCAAATTCATGTAATTTTTGCAATGTCTTCCAGAAATAAGACGCCGCTGCCGCGACTGTATTGTTAAAAATTCTCCCGCGCCGCAATGGTTGCTTAAAAATACTGCCGCTGTCACGCCGCTAACCGCTACTGTGGCAGCGGCAGCGCCGCGATGGATATCTCTGATATACACCAAGGATGTGATTGATTCAATTGGATCTTTTACCTCATCGATTTTGTTGGCAGCATCCAGAATCAATATCAGTTCCGGTTTGATTAGAAGGCATACGAACACTGTTCCGTTAAGAGCTTCTCATATTGCACTAGAGTCTATTTTATGCACAGAATCCGAACCTAAAAATGGTACCCTTGATAAATTTATTTTTTTAATATTTTAGAATCACCTGAACAATCATTAGAAGAGGTTTGTTCAAATTTTTCTTTGAACTTATTATAGATTTGTTGTGTTTTTAACATATTTAGGTTCCTCTTGATACAACTACACAGAATGTTGAAAACGAAATACCTTCTACTGATGATAATAGTCTTGCATGGCAACAAGTATTAATTGAAATTCTACGAAATGAACTAGAAGATTATCTACCAATTGATTATAATGCTTCAGTTAACAAAATTATTCAACAAATTGTTGAAGAAATAAGAAAAGAACGAGAAAATTCCAATGACCGTTATGAAGCATTAGAACAAATAAATGATCAACTTCGATTAGGTTTTTTTTTTATATTAATCATTAAATTATTCTTTTTATTAATTGACTTTGTTTTTTTTTGTATCTGTATAGAATCAGAAAATAATATGGAATCAATTCGTCAATCTTACATAAATACTGTTAATGAACTTGATCAAGAATTACTTATAATGAGAGAACAATGCGAAAAACTTCATCGAATAAATACAGAACTTGTTATTGAAAATGAAAACTTAAATAATCAATTGAATGATCGATCTATAGTTGTTGGCCATCATTCTGCAACAGAACCAAGTTTTCTTGAACAACAAAATTTAATTAAAAATAACCAACAGGTTTCTTTTTTCTCCTATTTCTTCTAATACATTTATTAACTCTTTTTTTTTCTTTTAGTTTCAACTTCAATCAACAAATATTCAAAATGATAATCTATTCGCAACAATTGATCAATATACTCAATATGAACAAAAAGAACCAAATCATATTGCTACTGAAACAATTCCATTAATTTATAAACATCACCAAACACAAATTGATCCAATTGATATCAATCATCAACAAAGTCAAACAGAAATATATTACAATTTATGGCCTTCGGTATGTTGTCAAAATATTATAGGTCTACGAGAAATCAAATTTATACTTACATTCCTTACAAAGTTGTAAGAATATTTTAGTTCCTTATGGATGTGGGTGTATGAAACACGTCCATACACGCATAATCAACCTAGGTCCAAGAGGAGTAAAGGAACTGTAGGATCCGGAGTGACTAATGAGAAGAACACTTCAGCCTTTCGGCTCCCTTGCGATATGGGATGCTGCTTAATGGCAAGCTCATTAGGTCGATATCTTTCCTACAAGTAATACTAGCTGTACCTCTGAATCGAAGGTCGGTCTGACACAAAGTTCTTGTGCTCAGTCAGTTAAACAATCCGTACATACTGGCTGACCACATACTAGCCACTAGGACGGGTGTATATCACAGCATAGTCGGCATGCCATCGAAAGGGTAATCCGAGACAAACAGCCGTTAATGACTTGTCTAAAATCATTCCATAGCTGACGGTACTGAAGTTTGAATACAGTACCTATTGGATACATGCGGAATAACGTAGCCGCTCAGCTATGATGGAAGGACTGAAATATTAACAATATGAAAGTCATAGTAGCTTGAAAAGCATAAAAATAAAACAGAATAAATTTAATTGTGAATTGCTTCAAAATATTTTCATAGAGCGAATAACCTTGTTTTTATTTTCTTTTAGTCCGATGATGAAATTCCTTCAGATACAACTGAAAATAATGATCAATTAAATGAATATATCAATGAAATATCATTTCAATCATCTATAGATCTTTCCAATTATCTTAATAAAGAATGTCAACAAATTTTATCTAAACAAAATTTAAATTTAACTTCAATTCCAAATCTTGAACTTAATCATTTAGCATTAATTACAATTTATTTTCTTCATAATCAACATTTATCTGATAATGTTAAACAATTATATAATGAAACTGTTATACGAGCATTACAACAAGAATATAATTTGTTAACTAATGAAAAAAATGATTTAATTGAACAATTAAATTCTATGCAAGAAAAATTTCAACAAATTGAATATGAACGTTTAAATTTACAAGAAATAATTAAAAATTTAAATGAAAAAAATTATGAACAATTAGAAAAAGAATATAATCAACTTATGAATGAAAATCAATTATTAAAAGATTATAATGCACAAATCTATCAAGATAAATTACAACAAGAAATTGAACGTGGTAAATTTTTGATTTTCTCATTATTAAGGCATATGATCGAAAGTGATTTATGTTTATTGATGATTTATTTTCGTTTACACTTTTGAAATTCTTTAGATTTGAAAACAAATTAGATTATTTGTTGAGATAAGCTTAAACAATTGAATTTTTCAGTTAAGAAAAATTCCAAATATTGATTTTGTAATTGATATCGACTTAACAATGTTTAATATAATAAGAATAGAATTTATTATAGAACCACTTGAACTTATACCCACCATTTAAGACTATATTGGATCTTCAAGGATGTCTATATGAGGCTTGTCTTTATGGATCTTTGAAGCCAAGTCATTATGATTTTACTAAAGTTCGATCTGAAATTCAGCTGATAAATAGGTCTAATGACCTGTAGAATATCCTGATTCTTTACTCGAGATATTAAATTTCCAAAAAAATAGTCATTGACGATGGATATGTTAGAAAAATCGAGTTTACTTGAAAATTCAATACTCCGACAGAAGAGCATTGTTTTCAACTGAAACTTTCAAAATGTTCTACAGGTAATTAGGCGTATCTATGAGTAAAATCTTATGTTGAAGTTCTGTTTTTTTTTTAATTTTTTGATGTACAACTAAAGCTGGAATGAAAACTCATTAAAACGAACATAACTTGACTCCAAAGGTCTATTGAGATGAACTTTTTTTAGATTTTCGTTGATTTTACTAAAACGTCCCTGTGAATATAATATGACCCACAAACGGTAGGTATCATTTCAGGTGGTGTCTTCCTTAGCAATCTACTTGATAAAGATTGTGAGATTTCAATCTCACTTCTACTTTATTTCTATAACTGTATCTAAGAATGAATGAATAGCAAATAATCCATTCCTAAAAACATAACGCTGTATATATATTGAAGTGATAAAAGAAGTTAGAAATTTCCAATAAACAATAAACAAGGAAAATCCATAGAACAACATGACAGACAGAGTGATAGAAAGTAAGGGAAAATTCCAACATGCATGACTAACAAGAAGAATAACAAACTTGGATTGTTTATAATCCTGTCGATACACAAAGACATTCCTTATGACTACGTCTAAATAAGATGTAGGTCATAACAAAGGTAAAACCTTGTTTTCGATTAAGAAAAGTTGTTGATATTTTTGTTTTCCCTATTAATAGTTATTTTATTTCCATTTAATAATGTCTTCGAACAATACTCCTATTTTGCTTCAGAAGAACGTATACAAATATAAGCCCATAATTTGTATACAAACAATACTGAACAAAATTTTTCGGACGATTTTGTCCTAAGTATAAAGTTCTTAAACGGTTACTTTGTGGTGGGCAGTTTGTGCCAAAAGTACAGTCAATATCTATTTTGATACTAAATTCACAGAAAAATGTATCTCTAAATGTTGTGTTACTGTTGAACTACATACATAAAAAGTTAAATCAGTTAAATTTGTTAGACAAGATTATGTGGACGATCATTTTGATTGAGTTGTTATTTTCTATAGATTTTTGAAAATAGTCGGAACCCATATAAATGAAAAAATACAGAGCATTAACAAAATTCTAGTGGCTAAAATATTTTAAAAATCAATCGTCGATAAAATCAGAGCCTAGACCATATTCATGTGAACTCTTTCTCATTTTTTAATAATCTGAAAATTTTCCTTTCTAATATTACATTCGAAAATCGTCTTTTCTGAATGTAATATGTCGAAAGAAAAATTACTTATTATAAAAAAAACGACAAAAAAATTCACAGGAACATAACCTACGATCTGACTTCATAGACGATTTACTTTTTTAACACGTTTAGCTACTAGAATATCTTTCGGGTTCTACCCTTTTTTTATACATATGAACCTTATGATAATTTATTTCATTTCAATCTGAATTTAAACGAAAAGAAAAGATAATCAATTTCAAACTGAAATAGAAATGTAGTAATATGATATTGTATACTCTATAAAAAGAGAGAATATATAAGATACATAATATCATTTACATTGTTGAGTGAGAATATGTTGGTTTGAATAAGATCAAGGATGAAAAGCTAAATGCACTAAGATTATTATGAATTCGTTTCGTAACTTCTTTTGTTTGGTTGTCAGATAGTCCACGCATAATGTTCTAAGAGATACGTTAGCTTTTTCTAGATCTGCTGAACCCTTACAGTTTTGAAAGTGAATTTTGTATTTTACTATTAAGACGAATACAAAAAAAAAAAGATTTTTCTTGAAAAATAATAAATTTCAATTTAGATTCTATCGAAATCAAATCATCACATAATGTTGAGATTCAATGTGATTTAACTAATCAAATTGAATTATCAAAATCGAAAAAATCAATTTTAAATAATAATTTGAATGAAGACATTACAATACAACATATATCAATGGAAGAACCATCATCAAATGAACAAGAAATCACTCGATTAAAAACAGTTATTGAAGAAATTCAAATTGAAAATAAAAATCTAAAAGATATAAATTCAAAATTATATAGTAAATTAATTTTTCTATTTCAAAATATAATTCTAATTTAATAAAAAAAAAAAAAAATCTTTAGATTCCATCAATAATCAACAATATGATAGTAATCAAATATCATCCAAAGAAAATATTTTATCCGAAAAAGAACAAACTGAAGATAATGATTGGAATAATCAAAGTTCACCATTAGAATTTCCTTTAGAAGAATCTAATCTTTCTATTATTACTCAAGAAAATCTTAGCAAACAAATGATTGATAATGAAACTCAAACTGATGATCAACAACATGATAAACTTGTACAAGTTAATAGTAAACTTAAACGTGCACTTCAGACTATTAAAGAAAAAATTCATCATATTGCTATTGAACGACCTGAATTATTTGTTGATTCAACTGATGATACGATTGAACGACTTGATCATTTAATTTCTGCTATCGGACACCAAGCAGCACAAATCGATCTTTTAAAAACTGAACCAATTGTTTCACCCTCAATACTTCTGTATGTATTATAAAAAAAGAAGCTTCTCAGCGCAACCTCATCAGAGCTAAAAATATGGAACTCACATGTTTTCTAAAGCTTCATTATACTAATATAAAATACATTAAATGAAAAGTCTCGAGCAGACTATAGAAAAACAAGCGACCGAGACAGGCACGTATTTGAGGCGGGTGGCACGGGGATCCCCTCCTCGTCAGGACTGAAAACGTCTGTAGACAGGTATAGGTAGACGTATTTTCCCCAGTGAATTAGTTAATTTTCCCATGGTGGGCCCACTCCTCAGGAGTTTGGGTCCTCCCCTCAGAAAATTTCTGGGTACGTGCCTGTCTCGGTAGCTTGTTTTTCTATAGTCTGATCGAGACTTTTCATGTAATGTATTTTATNTGCTTCAGTTAATAAAATTATTCAACAAATTGTTGAAGAAATAAGAAAAGAACGAGAAAATTCCAATGACCGTTATGAAGCATTAGAACAAATAAATGATCAACTTCGATTAGGTTTTTTTTATATTAATCATTAAAATTATTCTTTTTATTAATTGACTTTGTTTTTTTTTTGTATCTGTATAGAATCAGAAAATAATATGGAATCAATTCGTCAATCTTACATAAATACTGTTAATGAACTTAATGAAGAATTACTTGCCATGAAAGAACAATGCGAACAAATTGATGCTGAAAAACAATTTTTAACTAATCAACTTGAAAATCAATCTATTATAATTAATCAAGATCGTGATACAGAACAAACTGAAAAGGTTTATTCAATTATTTACTTTTTTTTTGGTTCATTATATAGTTCTTTGTTTAGTCTCTTGATACAATTGATAATATTAATCATATTTGGAAAGAATTACGAAATATATTATTACTTTCAAATGAAGCTTCTCTTGAAGAAATCATTGTTGGTATAGATAATTTAGGAAAAGAAAATGTTGTATTAAAAGAAAACGAAATTTCATTAACAAAAGATCTTGAATATATTAGTCAACAGTTGATTGATGTCGATCAACAATGTGAACAATTAAAACAACTTAATAAAGAATTATTATTAAAAAAATCAACAAATTCATTAGATGGTTTGTTAATTGAATTTAATTATTTATTTTGTTGAATTTATTTATATTATTTAGATGATCAACTTACACAAGATTATATTTTATTAGAAAATCAATATACACAGTTAGATAATGCAAATCGAGCATGGCAACAATTTTATGATAATCAAATAGATTTATTAAAAAATAAATTTAAAGATTATTTAGATTTTGATGAGAATTTAAATTTTGATCAAATTATTCAAATAATTGCCACAAAATTTGATGAGCAAAAACATTTAAAGACAAATATTTCATCAGGTAAAATTCAATGGATCACTATAAGAAACAAAAGTTACGGATTTTCAATACATCCTGAGACATGAGTACGAAATAAAATAGTCATCACCACAATACATGTGGAATTAAAATGTAACAAAACAATAGATCAGCATATATTGTAAAACAAGAGATTTTGCAGTCTATGCTGTAGTTTAGAATTCACTCATATTTTATTTTAATCCTACAGAAAACTTTAGCTACGAAGCGAAGTCTGTGATGGATAAAGGCGTTGTTAAGGTACTTATGGAGGGCGTCTGAATACCTACCCATATTCTTCAGTTAGAGCGCATTAGGTTCAAAGTTTTTGGATTCGGATTTGACGGACTCTAACTTCAACACTTCTTTTAGATTGTAGTTCAGGTAGCTCGTTATTGCTGTTTTAGTATTACTAATCAAGATTGAATAGAAATATTTAGACTAGAAATACGCTCGATACGCTCGATTAGATGATATTGGTTGATCACATTTGTAGATACTTTAAAAAGGCTTAACACTCATCTAGATGACACTTTTGTATCTGAACAAAAATATAAGATTTCGAAGTAATAATATTTTCATAGAGATTTCACTGTTTTTTTTTTTTTTCTTAATTTTTGACATTGTAAAATCTCTGTATCTGAGCATGTTCTCTTTTATTAATATGAGGAGTTTTCTAATGAGCGAAGATTCTGAACTCATTAAACTTGTTGTTTAATTTTTCTGTAAATACTTATTGCAAAAATTCACTAGGATAGTCGGTAACGTTCGAAAGAAGTCTCATCAGTTCAAATACTTTAAAAATCTTTCTTTGAATAATCTCTTCTCATATATGAACGAAATATCATTTCAAATGGCATAGATTACTTCGGGATTTTCTGTCAGTTTCGATAGATTCTATTCTAAACCCATTGTCGCAAGTAGCACGTATACATCAATACAGCTGCAAATTATCGTTGAAGTTTTTCTTGTTAGCAGATCCGAGTCTCATATGAAGGAGAGTTTTCAATTAATTTCTCATCAAAAGCTATTGTTTTTTTTAGTTTATCGATCATGCCGGTTCAGAATATAACCATGAGAAATCTTCTTAGATCTTTATATGCTGGTTTTTCAGATTAACAAAAGTTTTGTTAAAATCATTTTTGATCGACTTAGACGATAGAATATATCGAGTTATCAAGAGTTCTGTTATCATACTTTCAATGATATTTGTACATATAATAATTGATTTACTGACTCTAGGAACAACAATAAATAAAGATAATATCTTAGATATATCACCTGTTGATACACAATCAAATAACCAAATTATAAATCTTCAAGAAGAAATCAAATGTTTAGAACAACAATTAAAAGATGATCTTGATTTAATTGATTCATTAAAAAATAATTTTCAATTAATTACACAAGAAAATGTACAACTTACAAAACAATATGATGAAATTCAACAAAAAAATGATTTACTTAGTAAAGAAAATCATAATTTAACTAATAGATTAAATCAATTAGAAAATCAATCTTTTTCTTTTGATTCTCCACAAGAAAATGGTAAGTTTATTACTTTTCACAAAGTACAAAAATCTCAACTATCAAACAGAAAAAAACAACAACATATCTCTAACAATTCTTTATTTACAGCTTTACAATTATCAAGTAATCAAATTCAACGAACTGATCATTCTCCAATTGAAGAAGTTAGTTTAATATTTATTTGATACATTACATATATCATAAGATTCTTTTTAGACTTCATTAAATATAATTTCACATGTTCAATCTTCAAATATGAAACAAGAAATTGAACAATTAAGAAATGATCTTGCTATTACTACAACAAAATGTACTCAATTCGATGAAGCTAATCGTGCATGGCAACAATATTATCAAAATCAACTTGAATTATTTCATGAAAAATTACAAGATTGGATTTCATTGGATGCTAATGCAAGTCTAGAACAAATAGCACATCAAATTGCTATGTATCTTAATCAATTAGCATATGAAAGAAATTTATTATTACAAAACAATAATCCATCAGGTACAAAATTATTCTACGAAGCATTCATTTTCAATTCAAACACATATACACAAAATCATTCATGACACAAAAAGAAAGACATAGACTTTCACTTTATACATTTTAGTTTTACAAAAAAAAAAGACTCTGAATCGATATAACATTCTTCAAAGCTATATAGTACTTTAAGTAGACAATCTCTCAGCTGTCTACCAAAACTTGTTCCTGAGCATGTCACTGATTTTTTCGTTAGTGACATGATAGAATACAAATACACAAATAAAAAAATGCGCTTATAATTGAATGAGAAGTTCAAAAACTCATTCTAAACGGTACAAATTCTCTAGAAAACTGGTTTTTTAGAAATCTGATCCTTGCTGAAAATTTATACCATAAATACGATGCGTGCTGTGGAATCTATTCGAAGTTCATCATTTGTTTTTTGTAATATTTCATATTGTTGATTAAAATCTTCTCGATCTTTANATAAATACGATGCGTGCTGTGGAATCTATTCGAAGTTTTCATTCTTATGGTTAGAGAGATATTCGCTAATTAGTTTTTTATTAATTAATAGTCAGTTGAAAGAGTCAACTTCTTTTTTTTTACATATGTTCATGTTTAAAGAACTTATTTAGAAAAATAAAGTTTGTAAATGATTCAAATCAAGTGACAGGTGAATATGCCCTATTTTGCCTCATATAGACTAGAAAATGCCTAGGAGGATATGGACGTAAGGTGAGATCTAATTAAGACATCAATTATAATTTTTCTTTGACACTTTATTAATCCGCAAAAGTGTAAGTTTTGCACTGTCACTTGAAACTTTATCGATATCAATGCTTGAATCAGACCAATTTGTCTGCAAAACTTCAGAATTTCGGAATAAATTATCTTCGAAGCATTCGTATGTTAGCGGAAAGATGCTTTTCTTTTGCAAAAACTATACCCCTAAGATAATGTGTTAACAAATCCTGAATTTTCAGACGAACTTATCTGATCTAGGTGTTAATGTGAACATAGCGTTAAGTTGATGTTAAAAATTTTTTATGTTATT